ATGTGGCCATTGCACTCATGAATTAACTGTAGCCTCAGTTATCTGCACAGGATATGCACACTGTCAAGCCAATGACCCCCGTTAGCATTGCGTCAGAGAGCACACACTGGACTCAGAGGATGACAAAGCACTTGAGTTTCTCAAGCCTCCGCAGCTATACGCTGGTCCACTTCAAACCTGCTGTCGTTTCTGGCACCATATCTAGCCACACAGCAAAGAAAGAAGTTTCTAGGAAGAATTGCACCTGAGGTGTCAGAAACATGCTTGCTCATCTTCCAGATGGTGGTTAGGCTGAGCCTTAAGCTATGGATGCCAAGAACAGACAGGAAGAAGCTGGCCAGCCGAGAGACAGGCTGAAATCCATAGCCAAAGCCAAGTTCTCTGCATTGCCAGTGGGTCATCTTGAGATGCTGTCTTCTTAAACTAAATGCATCACAAACTTGGATGTGATGCAATGTGTAGCCATGTTCTTTAAAAGTGACAACTTTATAGGAGCTGTGAGATCTTTGAAAACAGCTTTCAAGACTCCTCATTGGTAAGGTATTTGGGTGCACAGGCATGCAACAACAGCCAGTTATTGATGATGACTAAGACTGGATATGTCATGTATCTGCAATCCTCCATCTATGAGAAAGAACACACCAGCCTGCCATCGCCCATCTTTTGAAGACATGGTCTAGACCAGTTTCCCCAGGGGCCGTTCTATAGGAATGAGAATCTCTTCTGTACTCTCACTGGTTTACTCCCAGTGGCCGAGTTCTTTCTCTGCTCAGGGGTCTGTACTCTCACTGGCTTACTCCCAGTGGCCGAGTTCTTTCTCTGCTCAGGGGTCTGTACTCTCACTGGCTTACTCCCAGTGGCCGAGTTCTTTCTCTGCTCAGGGGAGTAAACCTTGGACAGTCTAGTAACACTATAAGTATTGTTGTTTGTGATTATTATTAGGGTTATTAAACAATGACAACATAGCATGAGTCTTTACTGGATGTCATCCAGGAAAACTTAAACTATTACCACACAACAAATTCTGGGCTGAGGCACTGGGGATGCAGGCACAAACAGTATGCACACAATCCACACCAACATAGAGCTTATACAGTCTAGTCTTGAGGTTCACACAGTGTGTTTCATTGCCTTGGACTGTGTTTATAAACAACCAAAACACAAATTTAATAAATAAAGTTATGTGATATCACACCACAAGAAAAAAAGTAGGCTGGGTTCATATCATGGCAACCAATAGCCTGCTGGTTGCTCTCAAATGATTCTTTCTGTAGTTTGACTGAGTTCAGGATGCCCTCCAGGCAAGCTGTACCAGTTGGAGCCCCACACCCTAGGGCAGCTGGTGTTATGGGAGGCATGGATATCTACAGTGTCCTTTGACTCTTCAGCTGGGAAATGATTCATGACATTTTCACTCACATCTTCTTGCCCCAGCAAATCCCCTAGTGTTGAGTAAGGCTAAGGAGTCGAATGCATGTAATTGCCCAAATTCCTGAAAGGAAAAGAGAACCAGGAGTACATATTGCCAATAGAAATACATGAAATACCTGCTGATATTTTTTGTTTACTTTTAAATTGTTACTATACAGTAATTAAGTATGAAGTTATTTAAAAAACAAAAATTTAAATAAGTATTTAATTAGTTTTCATGATTGTGGTGCACTTTGGGGAAAGACTGGCAAAATTTCTCATTTAGAATAATGGCAAAGATGTCCATCTTTGTGAGCTATGCCATCAGCGAACTCTCCTATTTTTTTGTGGCATAAAAGTAGCAAAAAGAGACACTAAGTAAATAGGTGTGTCTGTTATCCAGCAAATCCTGTTTGTGGTCTGCAAACCATACTGTACTGAACTCTGACTTAGAATAACTCATCCCTTCTGGTACCCAAGGGCCTCTGGATCCTACGCTTCATCATCCTCTCTTCTTGACTTATTACAGGGCTTCCTCATATAGCCATGATGGCATTCAGTAAACAAATTCAAAGGTTTTCTTCTCCTTGGGAATCCAACTTTCTACATATCAAGTAGAAGTTATTTCAATTTCCTCACACTTATTTTTTGTATCAGTGTTTTCTCTAATCAATCTTGGACATAATAGCTGTTAGTAGAATGTACAATGTGTTGGAGACCCTAACGTGCAGTAAAGCACTCTTAGTGGGTTCATGTGATAAAGTCTACTTCTGACAGTGTTATGTAAACAAAGCACTTGAAACAGAAACAATACACAGACTATAATAGTGTTTTCTGTTCTTTATTTCAATCTTGTGACTCAAATATATGAAAAATTGAAGTGACATTGTATAATAATTTTATTCTTTTGTTTTTATTTCATGTCCCGTCTTTTTTACAGCTAACATGACTGGAGTACCTTCAACTTACCTTACATGGATTGAATACAATTTCTTTAAACCATGTCCTTTTTAGAAATATGGCATCTTTTAAAGTGTTATTAATACAAAGAGTATTGAAATAAAAAGTTACACATAATTCTTTAAGCACATTTTAGGGTAAATTTCTAAATTATAATTTCTTAGACACAACTTTATATAATCCTCTTAAGTTAAATATACAAAGAAATGATTAATGTTTGTATTGATACATGTGCTGACTGCCCTGATATGATCAATACATGTTATAAATAGGTTTTGAATGTCATGTATTCCATAAGTATGCACAATTAGCTTGTGGTAATTAAATATAAAAACATATTTATGAAAAACCATGTACACCAATAGTAGACATATATATATATACATATATACATACATTTATATATCATATAGATAACTTATGTGAACATACATTTGGTTATCTGAATACCCATATCTGAAACTGATATGGGACAGTTTTTCTGTACACTGTGAGTATGTGTTGCTACCATTGGTTAATAAAGAAGCTGCTATGGCCTATGGAAAGATAGATTATAACCAGGCAGAAAATCCAAGCAAAGAGGAAGGTGGAGTGAGGGGGGATCCTGAGGGCTGCTGGGGAACAAGATGTAATGGAACACAGGTAAAGCCATGAGATTCAAGGGAATACACAGATTAATAGAAATGGGTTAACTTAAGATAAAAGAGCTAGTTAGCAGTAAGCCTGAGCCTCAGACCAAACAGTGTGTAATTAATATTAAACCTCTGACTGGGTTATTGGGGTACCAGAGGGCAGGAGAGATTTATCTATCTACAGTTTCCTGATTAGAAAAATGACTAATTTATCTTGCAATTTCAGTGAGCAAATTATAGAGACTAGGAATAATTTTTTAGAGATTAGACTGTGATTATTGGAGAACTTCTCTCTACTATAAACATTTATTAGCATCTTTATACAGAGGAACATCTTAAGTTCTGGAATAGACTGTTAATACCAATGTTAATACACATCCATATACTATTACATAGTGTTGGACTTGGTCCATCTTGTGTAGCACGAACCTTAAAAGGTCTTATTAATAAAAACAAATGCAGAGGCAGATAATGGGGTAAATTCTGAAAGATCAGAGAAGCAGAACAAGCCACAGATAACCTCATCTCACCAGTTTCTCAGCTGACCCTGTTTCCTCAAACTGGAAGCCTCTGTGTCCTCATCCAAATGGATCTCAGCTGACCTGCTGCTAAAAGCCTAAAAGCTTAACCAGACTCTAGTTACTGGTCCTCACGCCTTATATAACTTTCTGCTTCCTGCCATCACTTCCTGGGATTAAAGGTGTGTTTCACCATGCCTGGCTGTTTCCAGTGTGGCTTTGAACTCACAGAGATCTGGGTGGATCTCTGCCTCCAGAATGCTAGGATTAAAGGTGTGTGTGCCACCATTTTCTAGTCTCTATGTCTATCTAGTAGCTGCTCTGTTCTCTGACCCCAGATAAGTATATTGGGGTGCACAGTATATTGGGGGTACACAATACCACCGCAATCTTGAGTTTTTTTTAAAAGAAAAATTGGAGCTAAATAAGCATCTGCATGGGAGTTCTGACTGCTTTCTCTTAGGAAAATCAATGCAGCCATTTAACTTTGTATTCATAGTAGACATTGGACAGGTGAATGTTCTGTGTGTGCTGAGTAATAAAGCATGGTGAAATCATCAGAGAGGGCTTGCTAGTGATGGTGCAGAACTGTGTGCTCAGAGGCCGTGCATTTGACAGTTGTGTATTTAAGTCTGCTTTGTAGTGACTTGCTAGGAGCTCTGTCTTCTGCAGGATGGTCATCTTAAGCTGCTTCTGTTCTGTCATATTTGTGTTTTACGGATATTTCAAGTTATCTTGAACTTATTTTTCTATACCATGCTTTACTACACTTTTCACTTAAACCTTTTTTCCTGCATTTTATTTGATTAAATAAGGACAAATTTGCATATTTCTTTGAGAAAGTATGAAAGGTTGCTGGCATTGGTAATTATACTAATTATTATTAATTGGGAAGTTTTCTTTGGAATTGTAAATCACAATCCACCACCTAACCTGCTATTTTATGTATTGGACATAAATATTGAAAATCTAGTATGGGAAATGCCATGATAACAAGGTGGAAGAAAGGAAAGTAGTGATTAAAAGGGATATTTTATTCTTAGGGTAATAGCAATAAAAAGGTCTATGTTTAAATATAATATGAAAATATACAACTGGGTGGTGGTGGCGCACGCCTTCAATCCCAGCACTCAGAAGACAGAGCCAGGCAGATCTCTGTGAGTTCAAGGCCAGCCTGATCTACAGAGCGAGATCCAGGGCAGGCACCAATGCTACACAGAGAAGCCCTGTCTCGAACCCCCCCCTCCCAAAAAAAGAAAATATACTTTCATTATATATCAGTCAGTAGACATGACATCTTATTACTATATTTGATTGTCTTTTAAATAGCTGAAAGGAAACAGGTCAACAATGTTCGTACTCGAGATTTATACAACCTCTAGAACCTCTAGCTTCAAGCTCACTATATATATATATATATATATATATATATATATATAGAGAGAGAGAGAGAGAGAGAGAGAGAGATAGATATGTAGATATATATCATTAGCCAAAAAGGCTGGAGTTCTCAACTTCTGATAGAAAAAGGGACTAGATGTTCAAGTTTTCTGCATCATGTCAGTTGACATCTGGGTATTGCAGAATGAGAATGATCCAAAATGCTGTAGGCACTTCTGGTTGGCATGCACCCTTTTTATTCTCACCTTTTACTTAAAAAGGGACTTCTATGTCAAGGTGAACCATGTAAGGAAGCCACTGAAGGCATTGTTTTACTCATCTTCTCTAAATTTTCGTACAGCCTCATTCCTGAGTTCTGGGAAACAGGTGCCAAAAAGGTGATGGGAATGACCTTATGACACACCCTAAGAGGAGAGTGCACACTTTACATTTTTCCTTATTTGTCTTGATAGCAGGGTTGTGGGTATTGTAATGGGGCAGTCACATCACATACAAACTGTGTGTGAATTGTTTCAGACCATCAGTACAGAAAAATGATAGGACTCAATGATTCTGCAGCTACTATGCTCATTCCAGAATACATATACTCTACACATAACAAAGAATTCACCTCTACAATACTGCTATTTTATTCTTTGTTATGTAGGCGAGCATTTTACTCAAATAAATCAAGATAACACAGACAAAAACCATGTAAATTCTGGAATAAGTAAGAATAAGGAATTAACATTGTATTGCAAACTATGGTGCTGATTTTGAAGATGCTCTCTGTAGACCATAAGGCAGTAACAGTAACTTTATCATGTATCTTGTAGTGAGAACAGAAGCTAGGATTAAAATGGAGATAAAGAGCTAACTCAACAGAATAAGATGCACCCATGAAGGTAAATATAAGGGCTTATAATTGGACACAAGACATCCAAACTAAACAGATATGAGGAAGGGCAGGGATGTGGGCTATGAGGGCAAGTTGGTGGCTCCTCTGAAGCCTATGGGAACAGAGGTGGCACTGTTGACCTTTATCAGTTCTTGTTCTAACACAGCTGGTGCGACAGGCTAAAGTGCAAGTAAACATGGTTTCTAACAAAAAGGTTCCACCTAGGAAACCACCTCTGATTATCCATTCATTACTAGAGGCCAAAATACTAGATATCCAACAGAGACTGCTGTTACATCTTGGCTATGATACAAATTGATGAGGAAATCGTGAGAAGAAAAAGCTTACTACAGCTAACAGCACTTGAAATGCCTGTAAATCCAGGTTATTTCCTGGTGAGTAATGCACAGCACACAGTCAAGGTCAATGCTGGAGTTAGATGAACAGAGGGGTGCCTCAAATATCCCTGACTGGTCTGGCAGTGCATGAATACCACATGATCCTCTCCTTGGTTGGGCCAGGGGAACATACATAGTGTGGAAGATTCATTGGTTTTGCCCATGAGAGGTCAGAAAATCAAGTAATCCCACAGAGATTACTTCACCCTTTGTTCAGTTTTTGCCCTGGCCCCACAAAAAGTCCCCAGAAAAAAAGGACTTTATTTCCTTGAAAACCCCTCGTTCCCTCAGGCATTTCCTCAATGTTTCTCATTTCTGAAATAGCTCTTAAGAAAGTTTGCTTCCTCCTTGCACAGCTTGAATGCCAGTCTTCATCTTTAATTTCCAACCTTGTGAGAACACACACACAGAGCCGCTGTCCCATCGCTGATGTCCCTTTAGAGCAGTGCCATGCCATCAGAAAGAAACAAGATGGCACTGTAGTTACAGCAGTATATGTTGGGGAGCTTCGAGGGGTCTCTTTTCTGTATTAACTGGATCTGAATGGTGAGAAGAAAGGATTCAAGTTTTGGAGCTACTGAGAATAAAAGTAACAACTTAGGTGAGAATTCACTCACTTGTATAGCCATTTCCTTTGGCTAAACAAAGAACAAGAATTCAAAACTTTCCAAATGCTAGATTTTTCCCTTTGGAGGGAAGGACATGTAGTGTGGGTTTACAACTGGAAGTTCAATAATTCCCTCGGGTTGGTTTCTGTTGGAGCACCGATGAGAATGAGCCCATACTAGCAGCTCGGGCAGCTGGGTGCAGAGTAGGAGGTTTGGGCAAGTGCATGTTCAGCAAACCAGCCTATTCTGAAACAAATGAGAAACTCACAGTCATGAAGAAAGAGATGTCCAAGTGAGCATCCAATGTTTCAACTTCCAGGGGCCTCTAGAGAGGTTGGGATCCATCACTGCCAGAACCTAGTAGATTCTGCAAGTCTGGAGCCTACTGGGAACAGAAGGGGCAGGGTAGAGTTCTGCTGCTTCAGAGCCCGGCAGTACAGCAAGCAGACACCAGAGGGAGCGAGGGACTATGAACTCCAAGGAGAAGGTAGAACTGTCTCACGTGGGGAATCTGCAAACACAAGTACAAAAAGACTCATACATGGAAACATGTGAGGTCTCAGATACCAAGCCAGGCTGACAAGCAAGGGCTTCTGTGGAAGGAAGCCAGGCCATACATTCTGGGATCTGTCAGAGTTACAACTGCCAACCCCAAGTGTCAAGGACACAAAGGTGCAGGGATGTATACCTGAAGAAAAAAAAAAGAGTAAAAATCTGTGAGTGAATCTTTAAAAAATAGGATGCTCTTCAATGAACTGAAAAATATGCAAAAATAATGATCCTAATAGTGTTTTAAAGTGTTTAGTTAGGTCAAGAAAATAATGCAATGAGAGTGTATAAATCCCCCTTCCAAAACAAACAAATAAACAAACAACAACAAAAATTCCACAATTATAACTTATTTCAAAAATCTTTCTCAGACACAACAAAAATGAATGTGAAAAAGCCAGAGGGCACACAAACTATTTAATTTTATACTTGTGGGGTTTTTTTTACAAATGGATATAACTTTGTGTATGCTGTAGAAGGCCAAAAGAAAATGCTTCTAAAACATGTCCATCTCTTATACTTTAGTGTGGACTGGAATGAGTCCTTATAGCTTATTTTGGAGGAAAGTTCTACATTTACCTATTATGTGTCTATATTTATTACTACATTTAATACTTTTTAAAGTAGGATTTTCTATGTACTATGAAAAACAAAACCTTACAGTTTTTAGCCAATGATGAAGATCTGCAGGGTGGGCCTACTGTATTGCTTTCACCATCTGTAACATGAGTGATATCATCATGTGGTTAATGTAGGCTTTACCTCATGGTCACACATCCTGCCAGTTAAGCAGTGTATCTGAAGCATAAAACAAGGAGAAAGGAGTCAGCACATCTTTCCATCTCCACTTTAAAAGGGAAAAACAGACCTATATTTTTATGTGACTTTAGTCAGGATTGAGTTATGAGACCACATGTAGTTAGAATGATTGAGAAAATAAGTAGTTCTGAGTCCTATTATTGGTAAGAGTTATGGTCTATAAACTTGCTGTAAACATGGAATTGGTGAACCCTGTGCCATTCATCCTAGAGGACATGCACAGTGAGGTGACGGGTGCCGCTGATCAATATACAACTGTATTTTATGTGCTTCTGTTTAAAGAGCCCTTACTTAATACATATTACTAATCCTTAAATATTGAACTTGTAGCTGGTAGATCTATAACTCGTGCTTGAAGGAAACATGACACCCTCATTTTTCTCATGAGTGCATCACTGTCTTTATAGCTTTTGCAGTTAGGCAACACTTCAGTACTATACTTTGGACTTTATTAAAAGTAAAAGCATAAAATGGGAAAAAATATAGTCCTAAGCACACTGTTCAAGGGATTCTTACCTTTGAGTCTAGAGCTGGGAACGAAAGCAGTATGTCTTATGGATTGGACATGGTCCACAATGTATATCAAGTTATTAAAAAAAAAATGCCACCCTGCAGATGCTCACAAATGGGAAGTGTCCAAAGTATTAATTTGGGTTTATAAGCAAATTTTAAGCAAATTTTGGTTAGTAGGCCACTATGAAAATGCAGAATAAATTGTGATAATTGACTGATAGGCATGTCCTTCCTCACACTAAATCAGGGAAGAAAAGGGAGTAAGGAACTAACTAAGAAATAACCTATCTTGCTACAGAAGTGTGAAAAGATGTACCCAGATGTGAGTGAGCTGTGTCTAGACTGTAATGTAATATGACATTATGGCTCTTTCTATGGCACTATGGCTATGTACTTTGTCTCATTCATTAGCTTGAAATCATGGACAATGGGACTTCCATCTGCCGAAAGCAAGAGAACAACAGCAATATAAAGTATGATCAGAGAATCTTTAAGGGAAATCCCTCTCATGAGTAGAGGTGGCTGACCAATGCCAAAACCAAAATTATCTGCCATTTATCTGTATTTTTCATTTTGACATTTTTGAGACCCTAGTATTATTATTCTCAATATTTAGTAAGGTCTGTCAGGTAGAAGAGGCAAGGTTCAAAAGCAGAGGCAGGGACTGCATCTCTTTAAGTATGTGTGTGTAACTGGAGAGAGATGCAGGCTCATGCACTTTGAATAGATGGGTAAAGAGCTAAATTGTCATTATGTGGGTGTATAGAAAAGTCAACTTTTACATGTCCTTTCTGTTCTACACATACATAAATAACTGAGCCTAAGAAAGTATAAAAACTGAATTGCTACATGGCTTTGATGAACAGTACGTTGCTCTCAAACTAAGGAACTCTTAACACTGTATGGCAAGGGGCAATCAATGCTAATGTTTGTCTCTCATCTAGACCACACAAGGTCTCCTGATACATGGGGGCATAAGGCAAAGCTTGTATGTTCCTGTTGGATCTTTAGCAGAGCTGAAGCAAGCTCGAGGACCCAGAACTGTCATATTCTTGCAATAAGAGGAATTTTAACTTCACATGACAGAATGGAGAGCACACAGAAAGGAACTGAAGGCTTCACTCCTCAACCAGGGGACATGTTGACATGCAGATGTGCTATTATTTCTGTTAAATTATTTAAAATTGTTTCACCTGTGCTTATACTCCTTTAGGATCCTGTCCCCACACTTCACTACGACTCACTATCTTCTGCACCCAAGGAAGCACCTTCAGAGTCATAATTCCTTCTTAACATCTCTGTTCTTTCAACTTTCATGTATAAGGTTATATTTAAATATTGTTAGCAAAATTACTGTGGTACACTAAAAAATTTCCTTCAAAAAACTGTATTTCAGCAATTAATTCATTTTTAGCACAGAAAGGGAAGACCAGGACATCTATTATGATAATTGGATCACATGGTTTATAGAGATTATAATGCTATAAATCTGTGCAATGGAAAACCAGGACATTCAGTGCTGTGATACAGAGGTGGGGACTGTAAATCTCAGAGACTGAGGTCTGAAAAGCCAGAAGCACCAATTTATAGGAAGGAAAAGGTGGTTATCTCTGATCAAGGAAAAAGAGAGAATTGTCCTTGCTTTCACCTGCCTGCTCTCTCTGACCCTCCAAAGACTGAATGATACCTACCCATGCTTGTGAGGGCAGATCACCATACTCTTTGTATCACTTCAAATGTTAGCTCCTTCCAGCAGAACTCTCATGAACACATCCAGAAAAATAAATAAGAGATACTAGGTACCTATGTGGGTAGTTTACTGGGTTCTTTACTAGGCATGCAGAATTGAATAGTGAAAAAGACCAAGACAAAAACAGAAACCTCATTTTTGTGCAGGTTCACATCTAGAGTGGGGACGGAGCACCACGATCATCGGTAGGTGCCTTTCTGGTGGCGTCACCCACGTCTCAGTGTATTCAATTATCTGAGTATGACCGCAGGCAGGCAGTCCAGACTTCTGAAATAAGCAAATTTTCAACTGTTCTTGTATCTAGTCATAAAGAATATATGAAAATAATATATACACATAAAATATATATTACAGATATTATGGGTTCATAAAGTATTCAATGTATGGTACTTAAATTATAACAATATATCACAAAGATAAGAGGATGTTTACTACAAAATATACATTTGTGTTGAACATCAAAGCATCCGTGGTAGGATATTAAAAAGGAAGGCGAGGATGAATGCTGCAGAGCTTTTCATCACTGAAGACACTGAAAAACAGAAACCTACTTAACCTACTTCAACGTTTTGTTTTCCTAGTTTTTTGTTGAGTAGGAAATGACTACAAAAGCATGGGAATAAAATAATGTTGTTGGGTTTTTTTTAAACATTGCTAAAACTGTGTCCATCGTAAAGTGAAAGATGAGATTTCCTGTTAGGTATTACATAATGGTACTAGATTAATATGAATTAAAATGTGTGATAATATAAACATCCTATGCCAGAAAATAAGCTATGAATATTCTCAAAATATTTACTCACAATCCTTAAACTCCTAAGGCAACTTTTATATTCATTTGTAGTATTAGTAGAGTGCTGTCAGTTTTTAAGAATCTGTTAAAACTCGAGTTTTTAGCTAAGTTTGCCTCTATTAAAATGCACTGGGACTCAATATCTCTCGCTAATACAGTCCCTCCTCTCTCTTGCCAATTGGACTCCCAGAGCTCCACCTGGGGTTTGGCTGTGGATCTCTGCATCCACTTCCATCAGTCATTGGATGAGATTTCTATCATGACAGCCAGGGTGTTCGGCCATCTGATCACCAGAGTAGGTCAGCTCAGGCACTCTCTTGACCATTGCCAGTAGTCTAGAGTGGAGGTATCTTTGTGGATTTCTGGGGACCCCTCTAACACTCTGCTTCTTCCTATTCCCCTGGGGTCTACATTCATCAAGGTATCTCCCTCCCTGTTCTCCCACTATGCTCTTGATCCAGCTGGGACCTCCCTTTCCCCTAAGCTCTCTTTTCCCTGACCCTTGCCCTCCATTACCCCGCTCCCCTCGCCCCCAGTTTGCTCATGTAGATGTCATCCATTTCTCTGTCGTTGGGCGATCCCTCTGTCTTTCTCAGGGTCCTCTTTACTAGGTAGCCTCCCTGGAGTTGTGAGTTGCAGTCTGGTTATCCTTTGTTTTACATCCAGTATCCACCTATGAGTAAGTATATACCATGTTTGTCTTTCTGAGTCTGGGTTACCTCACTCAGGACAGCAAGAGATATTGAGACCATGACTGGAAAAAGCACAGGGACAAATAGCCAAACTAGTGAAAACACATGAACTATGAACCAATAGCTGAGGAGCCCCCATGGAACTGGCCCAGGCACTCTGGATAAGTGAGACAGTAGATTAGTTTGAACTGTTTAGGAGGCCCCCAGGCAGTGGGGCCAGGTCCTGTCCTTGGTGCATGGGCTGGCTTTTTGAAGCCTGGGGCCTATGCTGAGACACTTTGCTCAGCCTTGGTGTAGGGAGGAGGGGCTTGGACCTGTTTAGGCTGAGTCTGCCAGGCTGAGCTGACTCCCTGGGGAAGACCTTGCCTTGGAGGGGGTGGGAGTGGGGGGTGGGT